TGGCCTTGGCTTTCAACCGGCCAAGAAATTAAGCCTCAAAGTAGTATAAGACGAGTAAGAATAAGAAAGTAGTAGTAATTTTTCGGTGATTCAAAGTCTGTCTAAAATGGAAAATGGGGAGGGGTTATATAGTGGTAGAAATCGAACAAGTGATAGTAGATGATAACCATGCAATTTAGATAATATTTACACTCTAATTTGGCCGCACTTTATCAATGTTTGAATGTAAAGATAACAAAATGCTCTAATTAAGAGTATTATGCTTTGCAGGAGCCATTCCGAGCTAGGAGGAAGCTAAAAGAGTGTTTTGGAGTCAATATGGAGCATGGAAGGCCAATAGGAATATAACACGGTTGAAAAGGAGAAAGAAGAGCAAGGACCAGCTCCGCGGTCAGGTCCGCAGACAGAGGTTGTGTCTAAATCCGCGGTCTATCCGCGGTCCAATCCGCGGCCACGGACGGGTTGATGGGAGCCAAAAGTTCAGAGTCAATTGTGTAATTTCCAGGACGACTCTCCTTGACCTATAAGAAGCCCAGCTCACCCAAAAAGAGAATAGAGAGGTTATTGAAGGGATTTTGAAGGCAAGAACAGGCAAGAAGCAAGGCGGAAGATTCGGCATAGAGTTTTTACTTTTCTTCTTCTTGTTTTTATCATTGACGATGAATTCTATTGTTATGATGGTGAAAACGATTATGCCTAGCTAAACTAATCTAGGGTTTTGATGGAACCTCTTGGAGAATGAATTTCTTGTTATGTTAATATAGATTTACCATAGTATTTTCTCTGTTTGTTCAACTATATTGTGATTGTTGTTGATTGAAGGGCCCTCAATCGGCTGTGCCTATTTAGTATGTATTACTCGGGAGAGAGTGCATATTTAGGTAGTTGTTGAACAACACTACTCCTGACGTATATGAGGGATCAATACGAAGGGTTTAACGGTGGGATTAGGGATAACGAAACCTTGGGTGCGATCTAAGTGAGCTGTAACTAAGGCCACCTAGCGTAATTCGGGAGAATATGTCTAGTATATTGTTGTAATTACTCGGGAGAGAGTTACGACAGTCAGAGTGCTCATGATCGATAAAGAAGACTTACGCAAATTTATAGCAAACATAACGGAAAGGATTCCGACAAGAGGGGAAATCAGAACCTTAGACCATTCCTCTCCTTGCTTACAACCCGTTTATAGCTAGTTCTTAATTACCGCATTTTTATTACGTAATATTTAGTTAATAAACACTCAATTTGTTACTCAAATATCTTTGAAGGTTGAATACGTGAATTTTTGTGAGTCCAATAGTTGTAATTGATAGGTTAATTCCCTATGGGATTCGACTCCGGACTTGTTAACCGGAATATATTTGCAGCGACCGCTTTGTCCTTTTTATAAGTCATAGTTGGGCGTGATCAAATTTTGGCGCAGTTGCCGGGAAATTAACGGTGTTATTGATTGCAGTTAAAAATAAGTGCAAAAATTCTTAGTGTAGTCAATTTTCTTCAATTTAAACTACCATTGAAATTCTAACATTTGTATTCTTGGTTGTTACAGGTGCATGCCTAGAAACTCCTCAAGAGCTGGTGAATTGTTCGAAGCATTATCAGATCCTGAGAAAGTGTTCAAGGCATTGAATCGTGCAAACAGGAAAGGAAAACGACAACAGAACTCAACCGAACAAATTGAACCAGACATGGAAGACAATCATCCAAACAACAGAGACAAAGTGAATGACCCAAACGATCAAGGTGTGGCACCTCTTGTGCCAGAAGCAGCACTATATGATTGGGCACAACCCACCGCTGACAACTTAGCAACTGCCATTGTAGTCTCTCAGATACAAGCAGATTCATTCCAGATCACAAATAACATGCTACATTTGTTGCAGAACAAGGGACTGTTCTCTGGGTCATACGTTGAAGATCCTCAGCAGCATCTAAAGAATTTCCTATCAATCTGTGCCACGCAGAGGCAACACAACATGACACCGGAAGCAATACGTTTGTTGTTGTTTCCATTCTCAGTGATAGGAGCAGCCCAGACTTGGCTTAATTCACTCCCCATAAACTCCATCACTACTTGGGAGGAATTAGTCAAGCAGTTTGTGAACAAATTTCATCCACCCAACAAGGCTGCTCAGCAAATTGATGAGATATTGAGCTTCAGATAGAAACCAACTGAGACGCTACAAGAAATGTGGGAGAGATTCAAGGGTCTACTGGTTACGTGTCCACATCATGGTATTCCGGAGCAGATGTTGGGGCAGAGATTTTACATGGGTTTGGCAGATAGTTTGAAAGCCAATGTTGATGCTTTAGCCGGTGGAGCATTTTTGAGCAAAACATTCAGAGAGAGCAAGATCCTACTTGACAAGATGGCACGAAATTCAGGATGGACAACAAGAAACGCTCCAATCACTCATGTGGTTCACTCAGTGGCTCTAGACCCGGCTAACTCCATAGCTGAAAATATGGCCACTCTACTGAGACAAATGAGCATCCTCACTAAAAAGGTTGACGAATCAAGCCAGAAGCAGCAGTTACACATAGTTGATGCAACTAATGGGGGTTTATGTACATCATGCATTAATCAACCATATGTCTGCTCGTGGAGTGCTGAAGGTGATAACCAACAATACCAGGAGAACATGAATTATATGGCCAACTACGGGGGACCGAGACCAGGGGGTCAGAATTGGGGTCAGCAAAATTAACAATATAGACCAGCTCAGCAGCAGTACAACAACAACCATAACCATGGGGCTATGTGACCACAGAGGCAAATGGTGCCTTACCAAAGGCAACAAGGGTACAACCAGCAAAATCAGCAGCAGGCTTATCAACAACCTCCACAACAGCACATTATGAGACATGAAGATGGGTTTGCTAAACTTGAGGGAATGATGCAACAAGTGATTGAGTCCACTGGAAAACTAACTGACAAAGTAGACTCACATGAGTCAGCGATAAAGAATATTGAGATCCAATTAGGTTAGATTTCCATGGCCCTAAATAATCGTCCTCATGGGACATTACCTGCAGACACCCAAATCAATCCAAAAGAGCAGGGCCCCAAGCAGCTGATGGTAGTGAGTCTCCAAAATGGTAGAGACTTAGATCTAGAGCAAGAAATTGCTCGTGAAAGCAGACAGACGGAGACACTAGTGCCAGTACCCGTTGAGCTAGACAATTCAGCAGGGTTAACTGAGGTGACTGATCGCTGCCAACTCGACAGTACACCAAGGTAGGAAGAGCAGGTCGCAATAGCTTTTACCTGAATAGTGGTCGGGATCGATTTCCACAAGGAGATAGTAGTGGAGTTGGATTTTCTGTCTAGTCTAGAGATGTGTTTGTGCTCCTAATGTCACTTCAAACATTCTTGGTTTTTGATTTTATAACTACTATGATAAAACTAATGATTAACGCTAAATTATGCTACTAGAATAGTGCAAAGTTGTATCTAATGGGAAGGAAGGCACTAGGGTCGTGGCATTACCTAGGTGGCTAATTGACGGGTAGATGTTACTAAGGATAGATTGACATATTTGGGGCTTATGCTATAACCGTTGCACAATTGTACCCACTCTCACACCTCTCAGTAGAGAGAGTGATTTTGCCCAATTGACTCTCTCGAGACCAATTGGGTAGGACAATAAGATCAAGCAACTAGGGTTCAAGTAGGGTGATTACTCTCTCGAGATTTAACCCGTTAATTGGGACTATCATTTCTCATGAGTCCATCCCAATTCCTTGTTGGGTCAATTTTGGGGTCATAAACTCTCTTTCTCAAGAAGAGTCAAACCCATAAAGCTTGAATCAGTGTTTGCAACCACCAATTCTTAAATAAAAACATAAAATCAACCCAAATAACAAACACCCATAATCAATCTAACCCTAGATGGCAACACCCATCAATTACCCACACTAGGGTTGAGCCACAACCCTAGCTAATGGGTTTAGCTACTCATGCTTGAAAGAGAAAATGAAGAAATAGATGAAGGACTAAGCATATTAATTAATTACTAAAAAGAAATCACAAGAATCTATCGTAAAATTAAAGCTAAAGTGCCAAAAATGGCTACAAAATCGAGTCTCACGAGCGCAGCTGTGTTCTAGCGATAACAGATGACCTAAAAATGGTAAAATGTCCTATTTATACTAGGCTGGAAAAACTGGACAAAAATACCCCTGCGGGGTCAGTGCGGGCCACCGCGGCCGCACTGGCTCTTGGACTTCACATTTCTGCTCCTCTGAAGTTGGACTTCGCGGACCGCGCAAAATGGACCGCGGCCACGGAGGGAGTTGGCGCGGTCCGCACAATAACGACCGCGGACCGCATGGCATTGTTTGGAAAAAATGGTGGCTCTCTGAATCTTATGACCGTGGACCGCACAAAAGGTAGTGCGGCCGCGGAGCCCTGATCGCGGGCCGCGTAAGATGTATTGCGGCCGCGTTGCCCTTGAGTCCAAAATGCCAACTCTCTGAATCTCCTAGTGCGGCCGCATGTCCATTTTGTGCGGTCTGCACTAGGCCTTCTTCCCTTAGATTTCTTGGTCTTTGATACTTGAGCAGGTTTCACTCCTTTTTTAGCCGATCTTTGACATTTCGTCACTTTATTGATCAAACCTGCAAACAAGCACAACCTGTGAGCATTTTGGGACTATTTTGTGGCGATTTATAACCAAAGCACAGGCAAGTAAGGGCGTAAAACATGTTAAAATCCTAACTTATCAGTGACGGTACAACAGGCACAAGAGAACACCAACAAAGAAGAAGAAGTTGTGAAAGAGACGGAGGTTGCACCGGAGCCGACAGTGGAAGCAGTGCCTGAACAAGAGAAAAATCAAATCACAGGGAAGAAGCGACCTCCAGCATCATTCCCACAGAGATTGGCCAAGTATCAGAAAGATGAGCAATACAAGAAATTCTTGGAGATGTTGAAGCAAATTCAGGTAAACATTCCATTGATTGATGCGTTAAAGGAGATGCCTGGTTATGCGAAGATGATGAAGGACTTGATGTCCCGCAAGTTCAACTCTCAAGATTTGGCCACGGTTACACTGACTCAAACCTGCAGTGCGGTTGTAATGAGACCCATAGCTAAAAAGCTGTCTGACCTAGGGAGTTTCACAATTCCTTGCACAATAGGCAACTTTGCCTTTGCTAAAGCACTGTGTGATCTGGGAGCAAGCATAAACCTTATGCCCCTGGCTATCTACAAAAGTCTAGGCATTGGAAGAGCTAGACCCACGTCTATGTTACTACAGCTGGCTGATCGAACAGTGAAGAGGCCCTCTAGGATTCTAGATGATGTATTGGTACAGGTTGGGAAGTTTGTGTTCCCAGTAGATTTTGTCATCCTTGACTGTCGGGTTGACCATAATTTTGGAAAGGCCATTCTTGGCCACTGGAAGAGCCTTAATTAATTGTGAAACTGGAGAGCTCAAGATGAGATTAAACGATGAAGAGATAACATTCAACGTGCAGAAATCTATGCGGAGACCAAGTGAATTTGCTAATTGCTCTCTAATAGATGCGGTGCATGTAGTCTTGGAGGAGGAAGATGAAGCTTTGAACATTAAAGACCCTCTAGCAGCTTGTCTCATGAACTTAGACGAAGCTAATGGTGAAGACTTGGCAGAGTGGGTACTTGCTCTTGAAGGCCAAGGTTTTTGGAGAAGGGAGCTTGAATTTGAGCCTTTGCACTTAGAGGAAAGAAAAACTCCTCCAGCCAAGCCATCAATAGAAGAGCCACCAAAGTTGGAGCTGAAGCCACTGCCATCCCATCTCAGGTATGCATTCTTAGGACCTGACTCAACTTTACCTGTTATTATCTCAGCTAGTTTGTTAGATGTGCAGGCAGAACAACTTTTGCAGGTACCGACTGAGTGCATGACTGCAATTGGGTGGACCATTCCAGACATTAAGGGGATCAGCCCGGTGTTGATATCCAATTTTTCCTTATAATATTTTTAAAATGCATGTATGCCTTCAAAACTATGCATTAGCATCAATTGACATTTTTCCATAATTTCTACATTTTTTAGGGATTTTTAATTAATTTATCCCAGCATTTTTATTTATATAAACAATCACTAATTGCATCACAAATAGTTTTATAATAATTTTGTGGCTTAATTTTATCATTTGCATTTGAACTAAGTTTTAATTATTTCGCAAATAGCCACATTTGTATTTTTTGGGTTATAATTGCAATTACTTTGTAATTATAGCCCATGCATGCATTATTACATTATTTTACCATAAAATAGCCTTTTATATTTTTTAAAATATTAATTAATTATTTTAAAACATTTCTAGGCATGAAATTTATTTTTATAATTTATTAACTATTTTTAAAAATAGTTTTAGCAATTAAATGGGTATTTAACAAATGACCCCTTTTATTTTCGGACCTAGCCTAAGTTAAACAGCCCAAATCCCTAACCCACTAAGACCAGCCCAAATCCCGAACCCACTAAGACCAGGTCCAAACCCGGTCCCCAAACCCTCTAAATCTTGGCCGTTGATCATAGAGATCAACGACCACCATCACTTCTTACTATTTTTAACCAAACGACCCCCAAAACCCTAGCCATTATTCACAAACGGCCGCCCTAGAATCACTAATCCTCTCCGTCTCTTTAAGACCTAAACCTAACCCTAGCCGTTTGAGGCTCCTACTGATCGTCTATGTCTCCTGGTTGCTCGTTCTTATGATTTCCTAGAAAGATCTCGAAGAGATCTAACCACATCTGGTTGAAGACTCTCTGAGAGTCCGTCTATGGTTGTGAGTGATACTATTTCGATGCTTTTACGGTTCAAATCTCTTGTTTGAGACTAGATTCTCTTTACTCTTTCATTATTTCTTCAAAACCCTCATTTCAAACACGAATCCATCCAGATCTTTGTATATCTGGAAAGTTTCTAAGTTCGTCGTCGATTTTTCTTTAAAGAGTTCCTTGTTTCTTCACTATTAATCGATTTTTAGCACTACGCTACTTTAGGTTTTTGATTTCTCTGATTTCTATTATTCGAATCTCTGTATGTTTGAAGTGCTTTCTGTTTCCATGGCTATTTCTTTAAAGTTCTCCTAATCTTCCTCCTACTAACCAACCCTAAGTATCTAATTATCTGGAGTTTCCACTTCCATTTTTTGCAAAAGGTTTTTTGAAGTTTATATGTTTCGTTTGATCTTTCTCGCATGGTTATGTTTCTGGTCCAATTGTTTGACCATTCAGTGTTTGATTTCAACCTCTTGTCCATTATTGTTTGAATAATTGAATGATTAGCCTAATTATCTAGGGTTTTATTTGTTTACTAAACTAATTTACCGATCCTGATTGTTTTCCTTAATCTTGAGTTCTTAATTGACATCTCTTGTCTATCTATGGGTTGATTGACCCTTTGATTGATCTCTGATTACCCGTGTTGCCTTATTTGTGAAATTGATTACTTGCTTTAAGGGTTCTAACACTAATTGACTGTTAAACCTACTTCTTGCCTTATTTGAAATTCAATTAGAGTTATTTATGGTATAATTCCCTAATTTCCTATCCCCAATCAAGCTTGATTGATTATTTGATTACTTCCTTACCTTATTTTTGCAATGTCAATTTGCCTTGCCTTATTTACCTACACTATTCGACTCCTATATATATATGCACTCTCATTCTACCTTAGACACGAACAATAGTTCACACGCACACAAAAACTTTCCTCTCATCTCTCTCTCTGCTACTTGTGATCACTGCTTGACGAGCCGGCTGAAAGCCATGGCTAGGCTGTTGAATCCTATCTACTTTACCTTCTGTTTCTGCTTCCTTAACTGGTATGCCTCTACAATTGTCATTCAGTTAATTTGTGCGTTTATCACCATGTTTACTTCTGTTAAATTTGTATGTTCATCAGCATTTTTACTTTTGTTTAAATCCATGAGTTTACCAGTATGCTTACCCCTTTTTAATCCATGTGTTTGCTAGCATGACTGTTTCTGTCCAATCTATGTGGCTACTTCTGTTCAAACTATATATTCAATAGCATGTCTGACTATATGTTTCCTAACATGTCTATTAATGTTCAATCTATGTGTTTATGTCCACTCCTGGCCAATACATGTGTTTACCACAATAGCATGTTGACTCCTGTTTTTCTAATTAGAACTATGTGTTCTGCCTTCAGCAAGTTTGCATGTTTACTTATGTCAAAAATTAGATCTATGTCTTGCATACTCCCCTACTAAGCCTGACCCCCCTATCTGGATACTTTGCTCCCCAATCCCTATTACCCCTTACATGTAGCTACTTTATTTTCAGCATGCCTTGCTTCTGTGTTTGGTCACTTAGTAACAGCCAATAAGTTTAAGTAATCCTATTTTCTAAATGCTGCTTGTTTGGCTGGAACCTTTGCCTAGGTTCTAGGAACTGAATGCTCCTGTTTACTTCTGATTTTCTGAAAGTCTGAAACTGCTTTTCCTCAAAACTATTCTTGCAAATCACTATCACTTCAATTCCTAGAATACTTAGGTTCCTGCCCCTCCAATGTGAGCATTGCTTTGGAGTCCATGAGGCTCCTCTGAACTTTGACACACTGGGGCTGGCTATTCCACACTGCACAAGCTGTTTAGCCTTTAAGGAGGCCTTGGTGTGAGCACTGCCCTGGGTCCTGGAGGCCCTTGGGAACTTTGACACACTAAGACACCCTCCCTGGCACTATGAGACGTGGCAATCGAAACTGTTTTAAGGCTTGGTTCCCAGGTTTTGCTTTGGGCCTATCTAGGCTCCCTATAGTATACTGTTATCATTCCTGTAATTCATTCTACACTTGGTTTGTAATATTATTTACTTTGTAAACAGTTATTGGGGAAATTAGTAAACTGGGAGGGATTATTATACACATTTTGTTGGGGAATGGGTAGATATCATGCCTATAGGATTTAAATCAGTGTTTACATTCCTAGAAACCATATCTATAGGACCTTGAAATGTTCACCACTTGTATGCGTTATAGAGATCATGTCTATAGGGTTCAAACCAAGCTTTCGCAATCAGAAATCATTGCGATGTTTGATTGTTTCGCATGCATTCTTAATACCATGCCTATAAGTTAAAAATCAATCTTGCACTTTTAGATATCATGCCTATAGGTAAAAAAAATCAATTTCTGCACTTAGGAATCATGGTAAATAGGTTCAGCATTTGGAAACCATTCCTATAGGGTAAAATTAATCTTACATATACGTTTATGGTTTTGAAAATCAGTCTCGGCATACCAATCCGCCTTTAAAATTGCTGCATTTAGTTTCCGTTGTTCAAAATCCATGATTGTACCTAGACAGCATGCCTATAGGACCTAAACTGCCTGAAATTGTTTATTGTTTTATTATACTTCTGAATAACGACTAGAAATCATGCTCATAGGATGTCATTGATACACGCCTAGTGTTACACCCCGTGTTTTCGTACGTAAGAGTACATCATAAGTCAATTAATGTAAGCTCAGAAAGGGAATCATCTTTAAAAGCTTACAAAGTTAGTTCATCATGTTAACGTGGAGGTTACAAATATTTAAGATCATTAGTACCAAGTAGCAAGAGGGTTTGAAGGCTTAGAAGCTAAACGAATTGAAGAAAATAAGTTTCGTCGAAAGTCGACAAGTTGGAATATTTTACCATGTACTTTTGGGGTGATACTAGGGTTATTAACATTATAAGGAGATTATATTATGAGTTATTTTAGTCGTACGATAGTTGGTGTTATGTTTTGAAGTCAAGCGAGTTGTGGAACAAAAGTTGGAAAAGGTCATCACAAGTTCCATTTATAATATGCTGAAATTTAGGTCAAATGTAGATGCATTTTTCTCCCAATATACTTGGAATCAATGGATGATCTACATATAAAATTGAAGATCTACGAGTCTAGTTTCCAACGCATTAAACCGTTCATCGATACGATATTGGAGTAGAGAGATATTTGCATTTTCGCGAGACAGCGCAGACTGGTAGGTGACAAGTAGGTGCATCACCTACTTGCCAAAATGAGAGGACTTAATTAAAAGCCCCAAAGTCGGCCAAGAGGGGACTTTTAAGGGAATAAAAACTGAGTTATTTCACCTGTATTTCAGACCAAGAAAACCTAATTGAACCCCTGCAACTCCTCCCCCAAAATCCCACACAAACCCTAGGGTATTCCGGGTGTTACGACGCGATTCTAGTGCTGAAAAGTCCGGACAGCATGCTAGTTTCTCTTTCTCCTTCTTGTATCCGTGTTGAGGAACTTATTTTTGATGAATAGGACCAGGTTTCATGGGTGATACTCAGAAAAAGGTAAGTTTATACTTCTCCTTCCATTATCTATGCGTTTGCGAGTTGTAACTCGATCGTAAAGAATAGACCTAGCTAGTTTCGGAGGAATGGTATGTTGTTTGA